TTTTTTTTTTTTACTAAAAACAAACTGCGGAATCTGATGGTTTAGTCCTCCTGTTCTTCCCCTCCCTCAAACCTGCCAGGAAGGCTTCCTACTTGCCACTGGTGACTGGACTTCTCATGCCTGGCTCCCGGATAACTTTATTTCCCACAGCTATCTTTCCCTGGGTCAGCTACTCTCAGCGATACTAAACCCGCTGGCATGTGGGACATGATCCTGCGTCTCTGTGCTGAATCTGTCTGGACCGTCTTCGGGCCGAGCACAGTTCCAGCACCACTGGCTTACCAGCCCAACGCTCAATGTATGGTAATGGTTGTGCTTTCTGGAAACTGCTGCTGGGCTTTGGGAACATTCCAGCAGTGCTCAAGGGGTTAAAGAGGGAAATTCTTTAAGTGACAGTAAGACAATATTATTCAAAAGGCCGGTTATTTAGATACCTAAAGCTGCCACTAATGTGGACAGGACCCCAAGGAAGGAGGAAGCTCGGTCATCATAAAACTGATCAAGGGCAGACAGGACATCTTGGATCACATCCTCCACCAGTGGGAGCAGGCTGGCATCCGAATGCCTGAGCATGGCCTCCAGGACCCGCGAGGCGTGAGGCTGATGTGCCACCCGACGCAGGTTTAGGGAAATCCCATTCACCAGATAGTCCGAGTTAGCATTAATCAGATGTTGCACGGAGTCATAGCCACAGGCATGGCAGACATCCACCATGGTTCCAGTTGCCGTCTGACTAATGAGCAGAGTGCTGTCCCCGGCCTTTTCAAGCACAGGGTAGAGGACTGATGCTAGAAGCAAGCGGAACTCTTTCCCCAGCACATACGCAAAGCAGCCAACCCCCTCCAGCTGGATACAGATCTGCCAGATATTGCTGTTCATGGAGCGGATGGTTGGGTTTGGGTCTGAAGAAGGGGAGGAGGATGAAATCAAAGAACTGCTGTGTGCACCTCTTGGGATAGCGCGTACTCTTGAATGTTTCACAGTTAACTCATCGCTGGTTCCCTCAGTGTCAATGCTGGTGGTCAGATACCAGTTTGCCTGGTCAGTATATTCTTCGAGGATGGATGTTATGGTCCCTTTAAGGTCTTCCGTGCTCACTGCAGTTTCCCTTTCGTGAAGAACATCTACCCCCAGTCCAGCAGCTCCTGTGATCAACTCATTGAGGACCATGGCAGCTTGCTTCCGGTACACAACAGATTCGTTGTATAGCCCCATGAAATGATCCACTAGCAAGTAGAGGTTCCCATAGTAGCCAAGTACCCGGCAAACTTGCTGAATGAGCAAGAAAATCCGCTCATCAATGAAGAACCGGAAGTATTTCTTCTGACCTTTGCCATGCTGCGAGGAACCCAAGGGCTCACCTAGAGTGTCTTCAGGGCCCCAACGTCTTTCTTCAACAATCTTCACATCAGCTACATCCAGCTCCAGAACTTGCATCAGGGCTTTGGAGAGACGCTGGAGGTGGGCTGCAGAGTTGAGCACAATGCTCACCTTGGGGCCCAGCAACTTCAGGGAGCCGAGTAACAAGCTCAAGGTAGAGAACTTGCCTTGATCATCCTGGGAGTTCATCAGACGTGGAAGGGCGGTGGCAAGGGAATGCAGATTCTCTGACAGAACATCAGCAAGAGCTCTGTTCTCAGCTACTGTTCTCAGCTCCGCAATGCTCCGGAGAATCTCATGACACTTGCTTTGGACCTCATTGCTTTCATCATTAACAAGCCCAACCACGGCTTTTAACAGGTGACCAACTGATTCCACCAGTGACTGACTGCACTTCAACATAAGGAGATGGACCAGCTCCACCAATTCCATCCTGACCTTCCAGTGAGGGTGAAGAGAAGCAAATTCAACTATCTTGTGGATAAGGAGAGACAATTTGTCTGCAGTGCTTTTTACCCAGTCCGGTCCTCTATGGACCACAAGCTCAGACAGTCTGCTTTGTTCTACTGAAGGCTTCTCTTCATCCTGTGTGATTGTGGCTAGTTGTTCATCTGCCATTACCAAGCAGACAGTTTGATAAAAGAGCCTGATGGCAGAAACAGTGACCATATGACCTTGTTTGATGTCTCCGGTAATAACCCGGGACAGGGCAATAGAGATCCCAGGTAGAAAAGAAGCAAACAAATTCCCACATTGTCTTGTTTCAACCGTGTCTAGGGGTCTATGATGCTCCTGGCAGTCACACTGCAGAATTAGGACCTGCAAACACTTTAAGGCAGCCAGCTTAATTTGCTTTGCTTTCTCTTGTTCTGCCAAGGCCAAAAGCAAAGATACAGCAAATCCTAAGTGAGGAAGGGTAGAAGGCTGATACAAAGTCAGGAGAATGTCCCCATAAGCTGAATGCATCAGGACATGGAGTGCTTGGATTACAGTCAGTTTTAATTCCTCTGATAGCGGGGCTGGTGGCTGCAAACCAGATGGAGAAGATAGACACAGGCAGAGCTCAGAAAAAAGCTCCTGAAGGAGGTCCTGCTTCTTCACACATGTTGTTGAAAGGATAGACGTGATGCACTGCACCACACACTGGACAAGACTCTCCCGTTTGGGTCCTGGGGTCTTCAGGGCGAACCTCAATGGGAAAAGGACGTACTCCTGCAGTTCCTGCAGGGCAGAGTCACTGACTGTCTGCAGCTGAGCTTGCAAGCGTTCCACATTCTCAGTAGTCTGCACCTTTGTTAGCTGTACACAAACTGGGCGCAAGATCCCGAACGCTTCTTGTGGGGTATCAAAAACTGCCATTGTCCAGCAATCCTCTTCTTATGTGTCTGTAGTTATCATCCTGCAGGAAGGAAAGAAAAGCAATACTTGCTTCAATGAAAGCAACCTTAAAACAATTGCAATCTGTTCCTTACTGATTAGCCAGACCTACTGTGCTCAGGAAAGTGTGACAGTGTCTATTGCAAAGCAACAGGTAATTCAATTCATTTCTTGCTAAGTGGTATAAAAAGCATTCAGATTATTACACAGGAGCTCTTTAGGCTTCCGCTCTAGAAGTGCTTTGAGACCTAGGGATGAAAAGCATTATATAAGAGCTTGGAGTTGTTATATACTCCCCCGCCATCCACCCTTACCTATAGAAACCTATAACTTAATGTGTTTACGTGAAAATGGTCTACTCTGTGTTAGTCACGTCTGACTCTAAGAAAAATAAATCATTACTGCTGATTGGTTTTTAACACAGCAGCTATAGACCCAGGGGAAGAGGGCAGTTTCTTAGCTCAAGTACAGTGAATGTTTGTTTTGTTCAACATCTCTCTTTAGTTTCTGGCAGCATGGGTTGAGCCCCGTTTCTCCAGTGTTTGGCTCCATCTCAACCAGATTTACAGCAGTGTTTAACTTTGGTTTTCAAAAACACTTTAAGCATGAGTGTAACCAAATAGGATTGTAATTGTGAAGACAGATTTTTAAAGGTACCTAGATACTTCCAGATGCAGACAGCAGCCTAGTGGGATTTTCAAAAGATCAAAGGGACCTAGGCACTTCTTAAAATCCTATTAGGTATTTATCTGCATCTGGAGGTGCTGAAGTATCTTTAAAAATCTGGTCTTTGGTCAGGGGCCACGGGGGCAAAGTCTTAGAACAAAAGCCATATTCTAGCGTAGGAGGGAGATGGCAGAGCATATGCTTGTAGGCCCCAGCTTGAGTCTGCTGAGCTAAAGTGCAGAACAAAGGTGGGTTGATATGCTGGATGTGCATGTGATAGAGTCCTACCACTACCCCGCTGATTGATTAGTGTGCTCTGGTGTCTAATGAGCATTAGTATGTAGACTGTTCCATACTGGAACCTATACAGGGCATCAGTTACAACCCATACGTCATGGGGATCACGTCCTGAAAGAAATCTTTTCTGAACCTTCTCTTCTAGCCTTCAAACAACCCCCAACCTCTCCAAGCTCATCATCAGAAGCAAGCTCCCCATAGACCAAGACCCAGCAACTCAAAGCAGAACCAGACCTTGCCAGTACAACTGATGCAAAACCTATAGACATATCGCCACTTATCAATATGCCTCACGACCCCCCTTTCAAGACCTACACATGCCTATCACAACATGTGGTGTACCTCATCCAGTGCACTAAATGCCCCAATAACAACTACTGTATGTGAGTGAAACCAGACAATCACTATGCATTCGAATGAAGTCACACAGGAAAATGGTGGTGGTGTTGTCTTTTACATCACCCAGGGGTGAATGCTCTTGGTAAAGCCATCACTCTGTATATGATCTCTTACTCCTCATTCCCAAAGAAAACCTGCACAACACCTTCAAAAGATGAGCCTGGGAGCTTAAATTCATAACTTTGTTAGACACTTACAATCATGGGTTGAATAGAGATATGGGATTTATGGCTTATTACATCATTTTATAACCCACTAACCCCTCTCCAGCTTCCCCCTATCTCCCTATGACTGAAGGGGTGTCAACCAGCCACTTCACCTTGAAGGAGCCTTTAAAATATGTGCTGACTACTTATGCAAAACAATCTGTTCCACCTTGTATTTCACTGTGATGCCCTGTGTACCTTCCCCAGACTGGAAGAAGAGCTCTGTGTAAGCTTAACAGCTTGTCTCTTTCACCAACAGAAGTTGGCGCAATATATGACTGCACCCACCTTGTCTCCCTAATGAGAAGTTGACAGGTAAACCTCTGACCCTGACCCCTCCAAAAAGCCCGAGTGGGTGGGATCATTCAATGGCACTGACAGATGCTCCTGAGGAACCCATTCCATTCACAGGTGCACAGCCCAGGAGGTGAAGGCCATGCCTCCGGCTGTCTCTACACAAGTGGCCCGACCTGGTAACTACGGCCTTGGGCTGAATCTCTCTGCTTGCACCATCTATCTGTAAGCTTGTAGGGGTGGGTGGGGGACACCCAACCAGATGGGTCCAGGATGCCGAGAAGGGTAATAAACAAGTAAGACTCTCTCCACTCCCTCTGCTCTCCCCCCTACCCCTGTGGCACTTGCAGCAGCCCTCAAGCCTCTCCGAGCCCAGCAATTCAAGAGCCCCAGGCCTGTCCTCCCTTGGGGGAGCCCCTGCCCCCCCATGTGAATCCTTGCCCCATGAACAGAACTGGGGGGGGGCAGGAGCCCGCTCCCCCCATGTGAATCCTTGCCCCATGAACAGAACTGGGGGG